ATTTCAAAGGGCTGTATGCTTAAATCCGCTGGCTTGAAATAACCTCTAAGGGATGACTCTTTGGATTAGATTTTGAAGATTGATTGTGTAATACAGGTCAGCTCTCAATGTTGATTCTTTATTTGGTCAGTATAATTCTGTTCCGAAAGTGCGTTTTAATAATGGTAATAATAAATAATAATAATAATGTTTAATGATGCATTCACATTAATTGCCCAACAAACCCATGAGCAACGGCCGACTTATGGTTAACTGATGGCAATGGCGGTAAGGTTGTGGCAACAATTTACTGCATCGAGCCAATTGTAGTTAAGCATCTTATTTGCTCCTGTTATTATCCATACATGATTTAACATATGCAGGCCCGTTACAGGGACACTATAGGCATTCAGTTAATTGAATCGTCATTTTCGAGATATACGAAGCGTCATTTCACAAACCGCAAATATGGTGTCAGGGCGCGGGCGATGTGTCTTATTTTTGTGACCGCCATTGTATTTTGATTATTTCATCGTAAGATTTTCCTGTTTGTTTATATTATTTGCTACGGTTGTAAAATTTTATTTATAAATACAAGTTGTAGATTATCTATGCGACAGAAAATAGCAAATAATGGCTTAGTGGTAAGTACATAACCTATAAACACTATACAAAAAATGCAGGTGATCGTGAGTGAGATCGAAGCACGAGACCGGAAAAACATACTTAATAATCATAATATAGATAATAGTGATTATGTTATCGTTCAATAGCAGTTTTAAGTATTATTTATGTAAAAATCTTAGTCATAAATGATAATTATGTTCTATTTTCTTTAAGCATTTTTTTGGAAACGATCATTGGTTAGTTTAAGGATAGTCAACTGGCCCGGTACACATTGTGCGCATAAATCCAGTATTTGACAGACGCTGGTAATGTGCTGGTAAAATACAGTAAATCTGTACTGGGCCAGCTAATGGCCACAGTGACATAAATGCAAGGGGCCAATGCAGATTGCGAATGCGGGCCCATCAATGTAAATTGTGGGGAGAGGTTGTTTCTCCAACAATGGTCCTTTAAAATGTGTTTGTGAGGTGGGTTTTATTATGGTTTATTATTATCTCTTTGGTAAGCTTTTACATTCAATTACCTTGTGCTTTTGTGACACTAATAATGAACTTCAATGTTATTTAATTTTACTAACAGTTTCCTTCGTGACAATTTCGTGAGTTGCATTCACTAATTTCACTTCAGTTTTTTACTTAATAGCACTCCGCCGCAAAGTTTTCCAAGGCATTCTCTTATGAATGTATTGGTTTATAATAACAGGCCTATCCTTTACTGAATGGAATTTACGCGATTATGATCTTTTTGCGCTCCCACAATGGAATACATACATATCCCTTAGTGTAATTTTATAACAAACCTTAATATCTTGATATCTGGCTAACTATCGGTCACAACATACAGTGAGTTTTTTTTAAATGCGAACATAGGAGTTTGCATACAATGTAATTTCCCTATGTTCGATTTAAAAAAAACACATCAATCTATGAGATGTGCGCGGTTCACATTCCCAAAACGCGCAATTTGTGTGACTATGAACAGCAATTCATAGTCTTTATGATGAAGAGCACTCGGTAAGATTTTTTTAAAGATGCCATGTGAGGCCATAGCAACTTTAGGATAAATTTTTCTTAAACTTACGATAACTTGACTTCACATGGCACGCGCTGACATTACAATTCATTGTGAACCAACCTTCAATTATTTGTAGGTCATGTGCACCTAGTATTCTACTAATTTGATTTATTCAATACATAAATGAAGAAAATAAGAAAATAAATAACGCAAACAATTACAATAAATGTTCGAAGTGTCCTCCTTGACATTCTAACCAATAACCTAATCGATTTCGTAATTAAATTGGACGGCGGTATTTTTAAAAATGTGACAGCTGTCAATTGTATCTACTACTCATTTGAACTACTCAATAGATTGATGTGTTTTTTTTTAATCGAACATAGGGAAATTACATTACATACAAACTCCTATGTTCGCATTTTAAAAAAAATTCACTGTATACACTCCACTTACGATGAGTATTGCGGAACGACAATTGGCTTTTTTAAAACGCTCCAAGGGGACACTTTGACTTCTTCACTACGTAATTTTTTGCACTTGGACAACTAATGATGATTTTTTCAAAAAAAATACTAGCTAAAGGGACCACAAGGTCATTGTTTTTCTAAGTTCTAATTATACCTTATTTGACTAGGTCGAGTACCACAACAAGAATGTCTTAAATTCGTGCAAAATAATCCCCTGCGCTTAATTTGCAACCTTTGCAGAAGTAACCTAATACGGCCGATTTCCAGCGTATAATTCAAAACTAAAGCCAAACAATGGGGTTACAGACACAATTTAGAACAAATAATTCATTGACAAACGTTTGAGAAGATGACTAAATCCCGCCGTATTACACTCAACATAATAAAAACTTGAACCTGTTATGAGTAGTATTTGTTTGGTAGAATGTTCTTGAAAGCTTGGCTCTTTTTGAACTTGAAAATTTTTCTTCCGCATAATTGAAAGGGAAAATTCGCAAAAATTTTAACGCAGATGAATGCTCTCGCTACAAGCCGTTTTAATGACGGTATTACCTTACATGAACGAGATACTCAAAACATAAATTCGGGCTGTGGAAACCTCGGAAACAACTACCTTGGTATTGGTGGAAAGAAATGGAAAGAAAATATTAAAAAACATTCCGCCATTTTTTGGGCGTTCAAACGTAGTGATAGATAGATAGGGAATTATTTTTTGCACGAGGGAACCTTTTCGACTAATGAGGATCTAGAAATCATGTTGCTTTTGCGAAAACCCTTTCTTTTTTATAAGTGTGTCAATGTACACGTAATTACTTCCACACATATTCCATTAATTTTTAATAATTTTAAAAAAACATTATCTTTTGTGTAGGTATATTAATATTTAAAAATATCCACATAGTCTGCATTATAATTATCTAATCGTTGATGCAATAACTTATTCAATGAACGATCTAATTGTTATTTTGTATGTACTAGGACTGTAATGGGAGTGAGACAAAAATATTACAGTACTAGTCAGGTAAAGATCAACTTTCTAATGTCAAAATAGCCCTGAAATTTAGAATAAAGCTAACCAGCATACGATAATTGAATCTCTTGCAGTACAGTTTTAGTTATAGAATTTCAAAATTTATTTAAAAACAGAAGTTTTTTCCAACCCCTTTACTGCAACAAAAACTGTTGCAGTAAGGATAAATGATTCTCTGTTTTAATGCATTCCTGCAGCGATTTTGTATTTTTATAAAATGTAAATATTACTATTCAGGTCCCTTTTAATTTTACCATATCGGAGAGTAATGTCCTGCAATATTCTTCCCGTTAAATCGGCAGGTACCGTTATTTAAACAATAAGTTAGTTCAAATTATTGTTATTCTAACACGTAGTACACGAAAATTGCTTCATTAGTGATGGAACTTTTAGGGACATTGCCGAAACGAAACATTTTAGTTTCTCGTTTTTAATTTAAAAATGCGTTTGATTTATTCCATTCTAAGAGAGTGACGCATCGACAACTAAACCGACTAAACGATTAATTTTATATTTTGGGTTGACGGTTTTACAAATGTTTCGGTCTTAAAAATTGCATTTCCTTTTAATTTTTTTTTCTCGAGGACCATAAAGTGCATTAAGAAGGATGGCACGGTCTTTTAATATGAAAATGTCAAATCTGCAGTTAGTTTTTGAAATTAAAAAAATGTCTACTGCAATTCTTGGGAGGACGTTAAAGTGAAAATTATTGAGTTTTAAAGCTTGCAAATAAATGAAAGTTATTCGAATAATGAACTAGCAAACATAATTTTTGTACGGTTTAACCACCGGCAATGCCTCCCAACCCAACCGTTAATTGATCCCTACTCTTCAGCATAATAAATTAGCCGCCATAAGAAAAAAATATACGTCTAGTATGTGACGGTAAAATAGTAAGAACTTCCGAATTTTTTGAATATTCCATCCATTTTCATGAATTACGCTTACCCTTCACTTTAAAATCTGCCCTTTGCCACTAGGCACGATACGAGCTCTAATGGTTTTAGTAATTGTAAACTAACAAAACGAAGTTTAACAGCAACGAGAAAACTAATAGAAATGAGTGAGTTTAAAAGGACATTATTAGAGAAGAATTTCGATATATTGGTTTGAAAGCATAATTTTGAAGACTATATTTAGGCAATATCATATCCAAATTCCTCTTAAGAACGTGCTCTAATAATGTCCTATTGTAAACCACACATTTCTATTAGTTTTCTTGCAAAACAAAATATTTAAACATTGCAGTGGTCTGCTAATAAGAGTTTTTAGGTCCGCATGAGTACCCCAAATTACTCACGAGAACCTCAAACTCTTATTAGCAGACTAGTGCTGTTTTTGAATTTTTTGTTTTACGAAAAACTAGTAGAACACTTTTCGACTTAGAAATACTGGAAATACATGCTTCACCGCCATTGAGCCCATAAAGCAAAACGTAGGACGCATAAACATAAAGAGCGTAGGTAGGTATATGAGGAAGACTAATTACTTAGACAAACTTACCAGTATCAACAACGATGTTTCTAAAGAAAACAACTCAAAATGCGTAAATTGCTAGGTACCTTAAAATTGTTTCTAAGCTGTCGTCTTGGGCAACAGATTGTTGCAATAATAAAATGTTCGTACAAGAAAGGTATCTCACGTGTTTCAATAGACTATTTTAATAATATTTATGTGTATCATATTCCTTTGTTTTCTAAAATAAAGGTACACATGTGAACAAAAACGAAGGAGTGATAACGATACACCGCGATAAGGTTTCCAAATAGACCAAGTGTTTAAGGAATTATTTTACCTGCACACATTTTAAAATTGCCAGGTGGTTGGCTAATGTAATTATCCATTAGTGATTAGATAAATACTATATATAAATAAATTACCTGCAAGATATGTTGCGATGCTCTTAGATCTGCTCTCTTTTCTTCGTCACTATCCAACAATGAAAAGTCGTCTGAGAGATCGTCTTCTTCGGAAAATGAATCCAAATCCTGATAATGTTGAGAATCTTTTCTAGCACTTAACGGTGAGGAATTGGTGGGACTATTTTCACCATCGGCACCTGACCAATCCATACCACTTCTTGCCCCGTTTGTTGTTGTAAATGTTAGCATCGGCTACAAAATATTAGGACTTATTACACTCAACATAAACGGTACAACTAATATAATAATAGACGTCGATAGGCTATGTATCACTGTATCAGCAGAAGAGGAAGTACAATATCATGGCTTGAATTTTTTACACCCACATGAAATATATTGATAACACATTTACCATCAAATAAAAACTCAACTTACCATCGATAATTAAATTTTCGCAAATTTATTACAGATAAATAAACACCGAATCGCACGAACTTATATCACGGAATATTGTCGGTGGCTGTAGGGTGAGGGATGCTGCGGTATCAGTAGCTCCACATAACTTCGAACCCTTATCTCCGTTTCACAGGCGCCCTTAGTTCGGCCAATCGGATTACGCAAGGGCGGGTATATTGCAACCGGAACTCCACCTTTCAATTTGATGTCACAAAATCGCAATTACAGTTTTTAATTAAGATCCAGAAAATTTTCCACTTTAGAGCGTCACGTTCCGCTACAATTTTTCGAATAAACTGTCTTTTCTGATCAGTATCGAAAAGCACGCAAATGGCGGGTTTCGTTGCCAAATGTTGCGGGATTCAGGTGTTGTGTGCCTGGGCCTGGATTAATATCGTACTTGGAACAAATGCCATTTTACCACCTGCAGTTAAGTATATCATGTGCAAGGTTGGTATTATAATTTATCTCAAGTTTGTTTAGGACGTATAATTCCAAGACGTCTAAGTCGTCGTGTTTATTAGCAGTACTGTTATTACCTACCATCTCCTTTAGGATGTCCATCTATATAAGGTTCATGCTGTAGACAGTTGGCTTTCACATTATTGTAAATTAGTTGAAGTAGTTTTTATTAATAATTCAAATATATTTTCAATCTGCGCAAGACTAGAACAGAATTATATTACATGTAGGTACATATACTTACCTACGTCTAAACCGAACGGAAAAAATACTTCAGAAAAATAAATTACAGTATAAGACAAGTGAGATAGTATCTTAATTAGTACCTACCTATAACAAAATGTAGATATTCACAAATAGTACTACCTACGATAATAAATTACCCAGTAACAATGAAAAACCAACACTTAGTAGGTAAATATCATTTTTAGGCTATCATCACAAAAACGTTGATTTTGTGGACGCTTTTGCGGCCATAAAGTTTAACTTTATTGTACGCTTCTGTCAAACTTTACTTTATTGTACACATCTGTCAAACTGTACCTACTTATTTGAAACTGATGTGTGAGAAACAGTATAGGTAATCTGTTTAATACAAGCGTCTATCTGGTCTAGCCCCATCAAGGATTGGGCCATCCACGTGCGTTTTTTTCATTTTCGGAATGTTTCACACTATTTTGCATAATCACAATGTTCACATTTAAAATTATAGTTTGACGTTTCAATCTTTGCTGCTTGCAGACCTTTTTGAAGTGTAGAACCAAAACATGAGGAAGATGTTATTGCTTACATTATTATACGAAGAATCCCCAGCAATTAACCGAGAACACAAGTAGCTACCTATACCTGCCATCAAAGTAGGTAATCAGGTTTCTAATAATTGTACAGCATGTTAACTATAAGGTCTTGGAAGCCACAGTTACGAAGTACCTATTGCATTTGACATTATTGAAATCTTGTGCAACGGAAGAAGTTGCGATTGTACTTTTACTCTCAAACGCCTGCTCTTATATCATATATGACTTAGGGTCGCAACGCTTGCAGCTTCCAAAATTTCATTTGGGGTATCTGAACTGTCGCTATCACCCATTTTGATACGCACAAAACACACGCAAAGATGCTAATTATAATTTATTACATACGACAGGAAATGCTTTGTTTTTAATTGTCTAAGATAACTATGATTTTCAGAAAATAGTTATTTGTTTCATTAGTACAAAAAATGTCAGTTTTCGGGACGAGGAAGATAGTTGCTGGACGACGCGTTAGCGGAGTCCAGCAACCTTCCGAGTCCCGAAAACGCATTTTTTGTACGAATAAAACATAAAATTTTTTCTCCAACCCCCTTTACTTCAAATTATATTCGAATTTAGATTCAGTCACAGTTTCACTACTAGTATAAGAACTTCTGCTTTCTTGTCCTCACGTGTCATGCCACTCTAGTTTTTAGGTTAACTTATAACCTATTCGTTCTTACTTCTTACTTCTCACCTCTCGCGACTTTGTAGGGAGCAAATCTTGAGGTAGCATGTTCTGCCGTTTCTAAAATCTCTGGCGGAGTGCAATCCATGTCGCTATCAGTTTCAGTCATTTCTATACACAATTAATATTGTTATATTTTGTATTGAAATAAAAAACTTGCCATACAGTTTTTTAATTAAAATTAATTGCAATTAACTTTTTCAAATTTTGAATTCAAAATGACATAATAGTGCAATGGGTCTGAAGTAGATGGCGTTACGCGCGACGGCGGGTTGTATACGTATTAAAATTACGTTCATCGAATATGTAAATTACGTTACACATGGTTTAAATAAAAATAGCGAGCGTAAATCATTTTCAATACATGTACATACGTATAGGTAACATCATTATTTGCATTGAATATGCAAAAATATTTGATTTGTATGTATAGAAATATCTTACAACCTGCAATGTAAAACGATGTCAATGTGACATATCTCCGTGATTGTAATTTTTTAATTGGCCAACTTTCAAGGTCAATTTCTTTTTGGTACTAGGACCAAAAGTATCCACTTTTTGTACAGTTGCCATGGTGAAAGCGATTAATCCGCAAAACGTCAATTTTACGTACCGAACACTGTCACAAAATAGCGTCTTATTCAGGTGGTTGGAGAAAAAATATATTTATGAGCAAATTTTTGAATTCTTTTTTGATGATCGCCTAAAAAATGTTGTGTGCACCTTGGCTAAAAGTGATTTGTTAGGCCTCATCTGAATTGCGGCCTCGGCTACCGCCTCGGCCACAAACAGCAGCTTCGGCCAAAAAAGATCACTTTTATGGCCTTGGTACACAAATAACTATTATAATGTTAAATTCGAATAATTTTTTATTACAATTTATACCTATTAATTTAATGAATACTATTATTATTTACTCTACTTTGAAAATGGTCTTACCTCTTGTTTATTTTGTTGGTATTGAAAACTCACACTAAACATCGTAAATTGCGACACTTAATTTTTCCACATCATTTTGCTGCCTATTGAGTATGTCGAAGTTAATTGAATAGGTACCATCAGTTTGGCAAAATTACCAGTTTTATAAGAAAGATATTTTAAAAATTTGTATTGCACTTTTTCCAAACTATGCTTCAAATATTTGTAATTAGGGGACCAAACTATGCTACAATATTCAAGTTTACTCCTACAAATTTTTATGAAACCCAACGACCTCAGAATCATTACTTGCTATTTTCTTAGTATGGTTTGGAAATGTCATTTTTGTGTCAAAGTATACACCAAGATCCTTGATACAATTGGTTTTCATTAAAAGAATATTATTTATGGTGTACGATGAAAATGTCGGTGATGTTTTCCATGTAATTGTGAGCGTTTGCATTTGTTAATGTTAATCAACATTTTCTTTACACCAGTTTTCTACTATGCGATCAAAAATGAGGTGCTGTCGAGTCACCTTTGGAATTTTTTTTTCCATGGGAAATCGTACATAACTTAAACTTCCAAAGGCGACTCGACAGCAACTGATTTTTGATCGCCCGTTAGAATATTTAACTCCTGTTGTAGCAATTCAACATCGTGATGACATGAACTCTTACGATATATTTTAATATCGTCTGCAAATAACAGACATGAGCTTGACTTGAGACATTTTGGTAAATTATTTATAAAAATAGAAAACATTAAAGGACCTAAATGATTTCCTTGAGATACACCGACAAACATAAGTACTTACTTAATTGTGCGCAATTGTTTTGTTAATTACAATCTAAAATTCTCGCACTTCTCCTTTAATACGATTACGAGCATGTTATGATGAGGCTTATTACTCAGAAAGGGTGAATAAGGCTTATTTGTGTATTAATAATAATATAATATCTTTATTTAAACAAAGATTATAATAATTATTAACCTATCGCATAGGGTGTGATTCAACTATAAAATAAATATAAGGTTATCATTTCCAATGAAATCTGTACATTTTTTAAATGCATTTTTGTTATATCTGCTAAAATAAAGACAGTTTACTCTTGACCAATTTTTAGAATTCGGCAAAAAAACGCCCTGCTGTATATAAATTGACTTTTCAGAGCATGAAAATATGTAATAATTTAGTTGCTATTGAAATAAAAACTAGGATTTTCGTTTGTGATGCTCCCGCTCATTTATACGAATGTTGCTTGGGTGTTCAAGCATTATTTACATATTAGTACTGTGGACTTAAATGATAGAACGATTACTTTTTCAAGAGTTACATATTTCCATAATTTTTCTAAAGCAGAATACCTACTAACGAAAAAGTGTAGAGGGTATGCCTAAGCTTTCATATTTTTCACTTATAATTGCACAAGAGGTTTGTATTTTACCGAGTAAATTTGGGTTGTTTAGGTAATGAAAATCTGTTGCCTAGCAATTAGACGAGAAAAAACTGTCAACTAATAAAAATGCGACACCGCAGGTGGAGCATTTTTAGGTTGACAGTTTTTCGAGTTCAATTGCTAAAAGGCAACAGATTTGAATTGCAACAACACAAATTTACTCGGTTTAAATACAAACCTCGAGTGTAATTCGGCAGGACAATTTAACGAACAAGAAATTCACATAACTAATCAATTACTGACAGACGTCAAACTAGTCATATGGGAAAGGATAATGCGATAATTGGTTCGAAAATGAATAAGTGAAAAAACCACTAGTGCATTTGTCGCTGGAAAAGTTGCAGGTAACTTTTGCCGCTGTCAAAGTGACAATTTCACTGCGGCTTATGCGATTTTTTATACATGAGTTGAATTGTCAGATAAATTAAGGGGATCGCCGTAAATAGTGCATCTCCATGTTTAGTCCAATACTTAAAAAAATTACATAGTTTACGGACGGGCAACGGCAACACAGCGATGTAGGGGGGAGTCATTGCACCGTTAGAAATGTTAGGTCTGCATTTTTGTTATAATTGCACAGTTTTAGGGTGTCTTTACTGAACTAATTTGGTGGTCAAATTACCGCACTCACGTGAGGTTTTCACAAGACACCTTCTACAATTACAATTCTTAATGAGAAGTAAAATAATGTGCATTAGACATTTAAAAAAACCAAATTAAAAGCTTTGTATGCTTAGTAGTATTTTACTAAGTTTGCGCCCACGTCATCGAATATGAATTATTATAGGTATGTTGGAAATGTATAGGTTCCTGGAACCTGGGACCTAGAACCATGAAGAAGTTTAGAAAACGTTCTTCTAAACCCCCCCCCCCAGTGGGCGCTGGAGGATTCCAGGGGCTGTAGGGGCGCTCAGGAGTAAGTGAGTATTGCTGATTGTGTACATTACAGAAGGATAGGCGGATGGTCATGGCGTAACTATTAACTTACAAAATTAATTTTACTGAAATATTGATTAATTTAGTATTATTAAAATGGATAAATACGCACTTTACTTAAATTGAATCATTCCAAATAAGCATAGCATGTACATGTCTATACAGGGTGGCTAGAAAGTAATGTGAAAAGACTTTCCTACTGAAACGGTTCGAGGTATTGATTTCAAGTTTGTAGGACTTCAATGGGACATCGTTATGCATGTTTTTTTATGAAAAAGAAATTCTTCCTAACCGAATTTTGAAGGTGGCCGCCATCTTAAATTTTTTTAATGATAATTTAACTATTATGAAAAAATTAAATCTTTATTATCTAATATAAGTAAAGGATCAATGCTTTCCTACTGAAATGGTTCGATATGTTGATTTGCAATTTGGAGCACTTTGAAGAGACGTTGTTACGCATATTTCGGAGTAAAAATGGTTAAGTATTTATTATATCACTCGATGAAGGGATATTTTAACCATCATGTGAAAGATAATTCACGAGTAAGGAAGCCAGCTGGCCCCTGTGGTGCAGTTCAGTTAAAGCTGAACTGTGCTGATAAGGGTCCCTGGTTCGAATCCGGGTTCGGGCATAGATATTTGTAAATGTATAACGGGTTGGGCTAGTAGAGCAGCCTTGGCTGAAACCCCGCCCACTCAAGAATAAAGGCAAAATAAGATAAAAATAATAACTTTCACGAGATGGTTAGTGTCCCTTTATCGCCGTGTATAATAAAAAAAAATTATTTTATAGCAGAAGCCATGTAAACCATTGTAAATCTTGTAAAGCATATGTTCTGAACGTCATCTTATATCGGGCCCCGCTTCCCATTTGAAATAATGACAGATGTCATTAGAATGCATAATAATCATCATGTTTCAAGTTTCACATTATCTACCCTTGCGGCTTAGCCTAGGTACTCATTCAAACCTATTAAAATGTCAATTTAACATCTGCTACAAAATAATAGTTATTTAAAAAATCCATGTTGCCATTAAAAAAATTCAATATGGCGGCCGTCCTCTAAATTCTGGTAATAAAGAAATTTCTTTTAAATTTCCAAATATGCATAATATGGGGGATATTAGTTTTGAAGGAAACTATCAAGTATATTACCAACAGTGTGAGTGAGATATACGTAAAGAACGTATATCTGTGCTATTACTAAAGAACTATTAGGGGGCGGTAGAGATTTTTACACATTAGCCGAAAGATTTTAAAAAGTCAAACGTCAAAATAAAGGACTTCGAAAGGCCTTGCAAACAAGATATTACTCGATACCACTTGTTATTTAAAACTTTGAAGAGAATGACCCTGGGGGGCAGAGGGTGAAATATTTTCGGTTAAAAAGTTGTCCCCCTTGACAAATCTTTTGACGTGTCTCGACGTTTTTTCCTTTAATCAGTGGTTTTCAAATGAACACCCTGTACTATAAAGATGTAGCATTTCGACATTTCGCCCGACAAATGGTGATCGTTATCGTTATTATGAAAACCCAAAAAAAAATGAAGAGGGAATTCAAAATTCTGGTAGGTATCGAAAGGTTCCAGAAAGAATCTAAACAGCTCCTTGAGATCGCTATAGAAGGCTTTTAAAAGGTGTTATAAATGCTTGAGAGTTTACGATTGCTCTGAAAAGTGTTTAGACGCTTTTCCAAACCCTTACTCAACTTCAGGGACACCTGAAATTTTTCTAGAGAACCTTCTCCAGGAGTTACCAAAACTATTTCTACTGATTTTGAAGTTTTTTTAATAGTAGTCTATGCCACTTAAGTAAATGTTATTTCCGAGTATCTAAACTTCCCTTCACTCTTAAGTAAGTAAATTTAAATGTAATTTTTTATTTTTTCATCCCTTGCTGTAGCGATATCCACTAAAATTTTAAATTTCATGTTGGACACTTTTCTGGATTTAGGAATGTAATTTTTTAGGGTTGATCATTCAATCTCGAAAGCATTTCACGTTGAAGACGAAAATTCACCCGTATTATTAATTACGTAAAAATATGCCAAGTAAACGAGTTCAACAGCGGTATGGTTACACGAATTTAGCAGAAGTTTCCTTTATTTATCTCATTATTTCGAGGAACCAAATAAATTGCAACCTGCAACTTTCCAAAACTTATCTAATCTCATCCTTTGCAAAAGTCGGAAATAACAGCTTAAGAAATAAAGATAACATTTTGAAACCCTTATCAATGTCAATAAGAACTTTTACTCCCCTTCTCTCAACAATTCCCGATGTTCCGGTACTTCATCCTTAATTAATTAGGATAAAAGGATTAAGTAAGCGTGTCATACAAATTAGAGATCGGATTAGTTTAAGAGTGGTTACTTTTTCCCACGAACAAACGCAATAATAAAACTTGGGGTTAAGCATTAAAAACTAACTTGTGTGGCGTATTGGTCTTTTTCGTATATATATTTTCAAAATTGAGGGGCTATTACCTAAACACAATGAATAAAAATCTATAGTTGATGGTTGAGAGCACGTTTAAGTCGCGTGCCAAACAGTTCAACGGCCACGTGACAGTAATGCCCTCATGAAAACCTTATTAGTCGTTTTTTCGTTATTATTAAGAAACGGTGGTGGTTAGTAAAACGAAATTAAAAAATAAGGCGATTTACATACAATTTGAAATTATTGGAGTGAAGTCTTAGAGAATTTCTCTGCAAAGTACACTTCAATAAGCACATGGGAACGCAATTAGCTAGTCAGTCAACAATCAAGTATATAAACAGATAAGCGGGGATCATTTCCGACTCGTCACTTTCAGCCCCTAAATACTTCCCACTTGTACGTATTGTCAACAAAGGACGCTATCAGTCTAAAGCAGCGCCGGTGCTTTGAATACAAACCCATCCTTCTATGACAACAGTATACGAAGCGGGGTGACTTTTTTAGTTCTCTTCAGTTATTGAAAGCACCACGTTCCCATTTAACTATTTGTTGCATTTATTTTATTTTAACCATAATGCAACTAAATCTGCGACTGAATATAATCCATGAATTGATTTTATTACACTTATAGGATATCCAACACAGTACGCGCCCTATTCCTCTTTTTAGAGTAATAAGAGTCACGTGGTTGTGTAATAGAAATAAGCAGCTACAGGTTACAGGATATTTGATTTATATTACCATTTTACCATTAAATCCCTTCCCCCTCCCCCTTCAACTCCGTCTTTTGATAAGAAGACAGAAGAAAGAAGGGAAATAGTTGGTAGAAAACGGTTCCTTTCGTTGAGACCTTTAATTAGAATACCATGAAAGATAAAATTAATTTCTAACACCACCCCCCCCCCTCCAGGAGTCGCCCTGGAAAGTTAACGCAAAACGCTGTTAAAATCTAGTTTCCTTCTCTTCAATTGCAAGCTTTAGTGTTTAATGTTTATTTTACAACATAAATAAAAACAAAAAAGGATGAGAAGTGGTATCCACAAATCTGATGAACATTACTCCAGAGAGTGGGCACAGTCCATTATAAATAGGGAGTTGAATTTTTGAACATAATAGATTAAACATTTAAAAACAGTTATTGTTCACGTGGAAATACCTAGGTATACAGTATGCATTAAAAAATTAATATCACATTTTCCTTATACTTTCACTCGGCAAGTTTGCTAAAATGTTCAACTGTGACAGTAACGGATTTCCGTTACTGAAACGCAAATAGCATTATTAGTATAGGCACTGAAACAGCACAGCACATGTAAATTATTGTTCTTGGCTGACATTCAGATACAACAACAAATTCTTCATTCCACCTCGACTGATTGCTCGTGATCGGAACCTCCATCACGGTTTTTTCATTCGAAAAGAACTTCAAGTCCAAGGCGCACGAATTGGTTTGATTTTCACAGAACGACGTTCTACTGGAAACGTCGTAAACAGTCTTGTTTAATTGGAAACGCAATCGGATGTAGTTCACTTGCACTTCATTTTCACTGTTAAAGATAAAGAAATAGTAACCATTGCTGGGTATCCTGAAAAAGACTTTTTAAACGCCAGGTGGGTGCGTGTAGGAAGCTTACTGGTACGTCACTTTGTTGGTGGACGAGGCCTCGTCGAAGCTTTCTTCGCTTAGGTGGGCGTTGCAGCGCATGTGTGGTGTTAAGGGTAAATTAAGTACTAAACCCTCACAGTTTAGAAGAGCTTCCTCAGAACTGGAGAAGGATGACCAAAATTCACTGCTACTTCTGTCGTTTAGAGTTGTTTCGTTTATTTCCCCGTGATGATCTGCTATTCCATCCACTTGAAAACCCTGCAAACAAATATTACCATTATGCCGTTTCATTCAACAATATTGAAACATGTCACCATCCTGGTACATTAGGCCAGAAGCCAAGCCATTCTGAACTGTAATTGATCATCATTTTTAATTACACGTAAAGTCAACTAAATTGATCTGATATGATCAGAACGTTCAAGAAGATGCCTGAACATACTAAAGACCGCGAGAATTTTTTTGCATTGGAAATGCTTACGTTTTGTATGGGTATGAAGTTACTGGTTAGTCGAGCAGAAAAGAAGAATTGGTGTCGCATCAAGTCGCGAATACTGGTTTTGTTAATTCGAATCTAAATTTATCGCACATCGCCCGTGAGGGTATTACACGCATGTTACGACGCTTATTATTTGTGTTTTACATATGGCGTTGTACGGTTATTATTTCCAATACCTTCGATGATTGCAAGGATTGCGATTTGCGAAATCTGTGAATTTTTAAAGATCTAATGTACGATAAATGTGTTCACTATGTTTTAAAAAAATAAATTCGTCTAAAGTGTATCAAAAGTTAACAAATTTCGACACTATACTAACGTAAATCAGAAAAAAATTATAATTAATGATTTTGTGATTCAGTTTAATATTGTAAAAGTTACAATATCGGTTGACCTCAAATAAAAACAAAATAATAATTGTAAAGTATTTGAACTGTAACTCGGTGTATCGATAACATAGTCGGTTGTATTTAACGTAGCTATATCAACAAAGAAAGTTTACTACTGATACAATTAATCACTAGTTGCGAAAATTTGTTTGTAAAAACGAAACGCGTCAAAGTTCTAATAAAACGGGAAAATACTTTTAATATAACAAACGGCGCGGTTCTGGAATATTCCATATATAACCCATAGTTGTGTAATGTTTAAATTCTTCGCGCATTCTTAATAATTTGAGGGAGTGGGGGATTTAGAATGACACACATACCTCCTCAATTGCAATATTCCCTTCGTCATCATCAGCATTTAACATATCATGCATTGCAGACGAAATGGTAATTTCCCTCTTCCTTCTTCCACGTATCTGTCCTTTATCTAAAGGACTTAAGCCTGCAGCTCTCTCATTCAGTTTCTGCAAAATTTTGTGTTGTTTATCGCCCAAGGAATCCAGCTTCTTCGAAAGCTCCATGTACAATTCGTCGGACGCAGTTTGACGGCCCGCCTCGTCTTTTATCTCGGAGATAACAGACGCTTGTAAAATGGCGATGTCCTTATCCGATACCGTCAGATTTTCAAACACCACGGTATCGCTTTGCACGTTAGCACTACCGGGAGAGGCGGAGGAGTTCGTTTTAACGTAAGAAGTCGGTGGCTCTTCTTTTGGCGAGTTTTTTTGGAAGGTCTTCTTCGACCCCTTTTGTCGTTCAATCTTCTCAATGATTTTCTCACGTTGTTCGTTCATTTTCTGCGTTTTTTTGGATAAAGCCTCCAACAGCACTTTCAACATTTTAGGATCGGTGATGTCGGGTACATCGTGTTTTAATCCAACTGTGGCGTTGGTCCCATTACTATGGTAGGGGTGGTGGAAGTGTACATCAGAGCGATGTCGCTTCATTAGGTGGGGCGTATTTGTGTCCGATTCGGCTGAGGAGTTGCTGGAGTCGTTGTAGGTGCCATCCATCAGACCTTTCGCAATTTCTTCCAATTCTTCCGAAGAATCGTCACCGATGTATGCACAGTCGTGTAAATGCTTGTGTCCCCGAATTATAATCAAAGATGCGCCGGGCCATCTGCACTGAACGATACAATAAATGTCATGCGAGCTATTGGCAGTTACAATACCTGACACATGTGGACACGGTAACGGTCGATCCCGCCAGCAAGTAGAAGCCCCAGTATTCCTTCATGTCGTCCTCTAAGTATATCTCGCGGACCATTGACACGGGTTTTAGGGTGGGTGCCATTGGAGGATCTTGTGGAAGAAGAAACGCGTTAAAAGTCGCATTGTCGTTCACTTTTACTACTTGACTCTGAAAATTAAAAACATACAATGCTATTCATTTAGAAGATTTCCTATGTCTAGTTTCAAATGACAAAAACTCCGCTGAAGGATGCCTAATTTTATGCAACTAAAATAACTTCTTAAAACAAATGAACATTTTGCTGTCATATTGATTAATTGGAATATTCTTGCTTTGACTTCCTTATTTTTATTTTCGTTCGTATGCGATGTATTCAACTGAAGAAAAACTTATTGACTATTGTCAATTGGTATAGTGGCGGTAATAGTTTAAAGAGCGCAAGAGACTTATTTTCTGTGTTGATCACTTTCAAATTAGTGGTTGTTGAAATGCGATCATCGAAAGAAACCATAAATAACCCTAAATTTTAATTAGGATTATGATTTTTGTCATTTAAAACTAGACATAGGAAATCCCTATGTCTACTTCTAAAGGAATAGCACCGTACAATGTATTTCGAAATGGTCAAAACAAACCGATCTGCGGCCTAGCACAGGTCAGTCTTTATTATGCGATTTCAATATAATCTCATTTAGAGTCAGTCCTTCATATTTAATTTAAACTTATTCGTGTAACGTTTATGTAAAAGCGAAACCATTACAACCGGTAGCCAGTTTGTGTAACGAAATTGGCATAGCCATTACCAGAATCATTCCGCAGTGTTCCTGGTGCTTTCACTTGCAACATATCTACCTACCAGTTACATAAATATCTATAAATAGTCAACCATGTCTATTGTAATTATCTACGATAAACCTATCGAGAGTATCGATCTTTGTCTTTATCTCTTATCAGTCATTTTTCCCACATACGTAATTATAAACGTGTCAAAGAGAAAAGTAGAACAAATAATAATATCTCACAACTGCTGGTATGATGGATTTTGAACCGTATTCTTCCTTTGAAGTGAACATCTGCTAGCGGCATGAGTGTGTGACAATTGTTTATAGTTTATCTATAGTTACTTATCATAGTCAAATATGCATATACGTCTCATTAAAATAATAACTATCTAAAATTATGCTGGGAATTTGTGCGACTTTTTATTGGTTAATCCAAGGCAAAAAATGACGTACCGTTAATTAATTTTTAAAAACGACCTTCATGCCGAGTAAAATAGAAATGGACAAATCCAAGCGTTCTGGACGTATCATTATAAAGCGTTGTGGGTTTACCTACCTAATGGTAGGTTATTTCGGTTAATGGACATATTTTAAATTCGCAAATTTCCAAAATGCTGGGGGTCTCCGCTGCCTTCGGGATTTTGGAGATAAAAAGTTCGACTTGAAATAAAATTAGTACTGCGATTTACTTGGAGTAGGTTTCAAATTAGACTGTAATTAAAATGGAACCAATAATAACTACATATAGATACCTATCATATCGAACCTAATTTAAAGTGACAAAGCAGTAATTGATAAAAACTTCATCATTGACAGGACATTAGTTTTCTGTCGATTTTTCATTCCTACCCCACGAAGGCGAACGTGCAATAAACTGGTATCCATCCCAAAATTCCAACAAACAGTAATCAAAAGTTTATTCAAGATAAAATAAGACATTTGAACTCATTTTTTGAAAGTCATAAACTATCTAAAGCATTTTTTAAGAATTAAAAATAATGTGCTATTGTTTCCGTTTTGTCCCTCCGTTCGTCTGTCTGTCCCTCCGTGTGTCAGTCTGTCCTTCCGCCCGAACCCACTTCTGCGGATTTGAACTACTTTAGGGGAATGGTCCTAGAGTTCTGGAATGTTATGCAATATGTAGCCTTGAAGGTGTGTCGTCTGGCCCTCAAATTTTCAAAAGTTTCAAAAGGGGGCCCCCCCCCTCCTCAACAATTGGAATTGTTTTCTACCAACTACCTCCCTACTTTCTGACTCATTATCAGGGGCTTGGCGGTATCCTTCGTGATACTCTAATGAAAGGTCTCAACGAAAGGAATTAATTTCTACCAATCATAGCCTCGACTCCTTATCGTAATCGGATATAAATAATTCCTTACATCTCAAGAACAGATTGTCGGGGAATGGTACTCGTAAAAGGCGATTGGGACGTCTGGAAGAAATATATCTATTGGTGATGTCAAAACTTTACGAGCGAATTTCTCGAAAACGGTTTGTCGGAGGAAATTACCCACAGATACTCTTTATATATGGCGTTAAACTAGAACCAATGTCAAAAATGTGTTTTTGGGCATTGTTTTAGATTTTAACCATAGATTCTTGCTAGTAAGTGCAAACATCGCATATTGGAAAAGTCAGATGTGCGCATGCGCAGATTGCACAATACCAGCTTTCTTGTTTATGGAGACATTTCTTTGAAATTTGAACCATAGATACCTCTAGTAAAAAAAAACTAAGTCCACATAGCTGTGGCTTTTCGGGAAGTATTGATCAATGCATGGAAAAGGCGCCCTAGAGTGAAAACGTTTTTACTTGTTTAATCCAATGGGGGCGTAAATAAGACGGTTTTAGAGACAAAGAAGGAAAAGAGAAAAGTATTGTACGCTGAAGGATTACGTGCAGATTTTGTGTGTGTGAATAACTCGCCATTGTGTACAAGTGCGAGGAAAATTGCATTTGTAAAGTTAGACCTTGATCAATCCGAAATTAAAAGATTAAGTGTATCCACAATAATTAAATGCACTTTGGCATATTAGAGGTCATCGAAATCGGAACAAAGACGAAAAGGGACGTTTAGGTACGTAAAGTGGTTACTTCCAAGTGACGTTATCCGACTCTTTGTGAAATCACAGGCAAAAAGATAAAAGTAACATTACGGCCGGAAAACATTTTTTCGCGTCCAGTTAACTGCAAACTGCGCCTCAGTGAATGACATCCCCTGTACCGATCAGAAAGGAGAAAATTCTCATCCCGGCATCTGTAACCAAAGGTAACCCAGCTAGGACCAAGTAAGTAGCGCCAATTTATGTACGGTACCTACTGTTACTCTTGTTGCTATTGTATAGGGTGTCGCATTTTCCACACTTTCATGGGGTATCTCCGTAATAGTTAGTGCTATCAAAATAGTACATTGAAATACAAGTGCAGAAACGGTATTATTGAAAAACGAGTATAAATGTAGGAACACGAGCGCCAGCGAGTGTTCCTATTATACGAGTCTTTCAATGACCGTTTCGGCATGCGTGTTTCATACTATTTTTTCTACGAAAGTGAAAAATTCTTCTCTAGAAATTAGAAATTTCAACTAGCCAAATAACGACAAAAAATCGTATAGTCTGATCGTAGTTGGATGTTTCAATTGTAAATGATCCAGTAAGCCGGTTGCCATGACAAAACATAATTGTTTGAAAAATCGTAAATTTAAGTCAAACAATTTGTGGCGTAGTGAAGAAGTGTTAAGATAGATTTTGACGAAACTGAAGATGAAGAAGGTATGTGCACCCCGCCGGACGTTGCGGAAATGGCTAATGCGGTTTCGCATGAATTGCTACCCCAAAAGTCTAAGCAGCGTTTCGGAAAGGAGCGTTTTCATAAGAGAACAAATCGCTAAGTTTTTGAGAGAAGCGCCTGATGAAACATTTGTAATGATGAAGGTTTGTGAATTTCTTATTGTATTTTTAAATCATAAATAAGCATAATTTAATTACAGGTTGCTCTCGTCCTTGGAGTGGCTGGAGCTTGCCGTCGGAGCGAACGTTGTAAAATGACTGTAACGGATTTCACAGAACATAAGATGCAATTTTATTGATACCTAACGATTCCTGACTCCAAGAATCATGCCCCAAGAACGTTTTCTGTAGCAGAAGGCAAAGAAAATTCTACCATTGTCTGTCTTATATAACGAAACTGTGAATAAAGCAATACAATTACAAAGAGTTACTTCGCATATGTTTATTAGCGTGTAGAAAATGCGTGCAGAAAACATTTTTTTCTATTTCGGTGTCACAATGATGATTTTGTACAACTGTTTTCGGCGAAAACAGTTGTACAAAGACAGTGATTATAGTCGTTTTTTTTTTGGTAACTCATCTCTTAAGTTGGCAGTTACTAGTTAGTACAAGTAGGTACTTCGTTGGGTACTTCCATGTTTGAACTTCAAAATGTCAGTCTTACTACGCTGCCAACCTAAAACTTAACGGCATAAAAAGTGTTCCCAACATAAAACATGTTAGTTCTAATGTTCCCTATAGTTTCTGATAATGATTTTTTTAATTAAATTAAAGCACCGAAATAGAAAAAATAGTATGAAAAACGCGTGTTACAATGCTTTATTGTAATACTCCTATCTTGCGGACACTCGTGGCTACGCTTCGCGTCGCCACTCGTGCCACAAGATAGTCGTATTACAATAGGTCGCATTGTAACACTTGTCTTTCAATATACTATTGCCGCACTAGTGTTTCAAAGACCTGTTTTCACAATCAATTTACCTACAAAAACAATCGTGTTTCTACACTTTCGTAGAAAAAAGTAATATCCGCGTCATGTGCGCTTTCTGGATCACACTTAAAATCAAAATTTTAAAATATTCGATCGCTTAAGAGATACGGGATAAGATCACAAAATGTTCAATGAATGACTATATTTTCATAGTTAAAAGACACACAGAAAAATGTTTACACCTAACAACATTTTTGTATAATTATTGGTGAATAATCTGCCGTTCACAATAGGTACACGGGGTCAACTAAAAAAGTTATCAGACCTAATCTCCTTTTTATAATAGAACATAGTGTATATTACCTAAAAAGATTGCATATTAAATTCTCTTTTCAAAAATATAACACACTAGGGATGATATTCAAAAAAAGATTTAAGTGATTCAAATTTAAAAAAATATTTAAAAAGATTAAAAAAAGAATTAAAATTGGTTCAAATGATTCAAACAAATTTTTTTAAAACCTTTTATTGGACCAATATTCAGTTTTTCCAATTGTTTTAGTGTTACATTTTTGAAAATATATCTTTTTAGAATGAAGTATAAAGGGTGATTTATTTAAAATAGTGTTGTTAGGCTCGATCATTTTTTTACCTGACCACGTATATTTTGAAAACGGCAGATTATTCAACAATCATTATAAAGAAACATAATAAACATTTTTCTGTATCTCTTTTAACTAAGAAAAATTGAGTAATTCTGAAATCGACAATTTTTTGGTTTTTCCCCGTATCCCTTAAACGGGCCAACATTTTAAACTTTGGGTTTTACAATTTTGTTTGGTCCAAAAAGAGAACTGTTTTGATAGCACTAACAATTACAGAGGCCCTATAAAAGTGTAAAAAATGTGACACCCTGTACTCTATGACCGAGTTCTTGGGGTTGTGGTGGTTGGGGGGAAGGTATGGTTATTTCAGTTCATTTAGAGAACTCTTGAGGATTCGGCTTGTAAGTTGACAAATTTTCTTTAAAAAAACATGAAAAATTTTCCTGTGTCGGAATCCAGCTGGAGGGAAATTTCCACACTTATTAATTCATGCTATCTAAGCTGAATACACCCTTGTATATCTTGTTCACCGTCTATAGTGATTTATGTTTTTTTTTATGTGAAAGTGGCCACACAAAATTTAGTTAGTTCGTAAATCCTCTATTGAAAGTCTACCCTTGAAATCCAATGTTTTCCTGGTCTACGATATGTTCACAAGGGTTGATATTTGGTTTTCTGTTAAAATATAAACCAAAATTACAACCGTTTTATTTACGGCGAATCAACGGAAGTCTAAATTACTAATAATCTTAATGAATTTCGGTTGAGCTAGCTATGGGGCATAAGTATAGAATTTAATAATAATAACAGGACTTTTTATAACGATTAGGCTTAGAGAAATCCCTAGTTGAGTGCGCCCCTCCAACTTTCTGTCAACCAAACAGCAGTTATTTAAAAAATTAATTGGCAAACAAGATCTTTTCACTCTTTAATAGCTTTTTGTCCATTTCCTGGTAATAACAGAACTTTTTCATAAATTTAAATGTCTAAATTCATGAGAGATTTGCGTCAGTTACGTTGCGCAAATCTGAGTGTACCCAAAATTAATTGAATGTCCATCATTATTTTGAAAAAAACCGGTTTATTTACGTTAATAGGTGCGTCGTGCGTAAATAGATACGAGTACGAATTTTCGCAGATAGAAAACGTTAAATACATGTAATTACCATAAACATGAAACTTATATGCAAAAAGTTAATATCACTTTTCAGGAAAGTTGCTATTGAGCAAGCCTTGGTCTGGTATTCTTGTGAATGGCATAATCTATGCACTATTGCTAGTTGTAGGATTTTTAAAACATTTTGGCGAAATACTTAATTATCATTAAACTATACGTGCTCCATTTTAAAGGAATTCTCCCAGGAACCGGTATTCTCTGGGTAATCCCATAAAAGATACATCGATCTAAAAAAGAGGTTGACGAACGTTACTTAATTACACGAGTACCTTAGACAGACAAATTGCAAAAAGACGATTATAATTGTAAGTGTTTACCGTAGGCTATTGCGAACCTTCTATTATCGTTGCATCATAAGAAAGTACTTAACGAACCTGGCACCAAAACGTCGATATTCTTCTGTCCAATAACCTCATATCAGATACAGCGAAAGGATACAGTTGATTTGCGTAAACGTGATATCTAAGATAAAGTGGCACTGACACTAGGGCCATAGGTAGCGCGATCCCAAGCAGACATAAACGTAGCACCCGCAAAGGGCCCTTGAATGATCTAGGACGCTTCCTGACCGGAGATACTTTGTGGATGGGTGCTTCTGTAATTACGTCAAAAATGTTACGTGCACTTAATTATGGAGGTATAGCGAAATACGTACCGTCTAATCTAACAACTACTGTCATTGTTTCAAATTTCAAAAATGGGAACGCACTGCATCGTCTCTACACCACACACTTCACTAATCCTTCCACTTCGTGGTTTAGCCTGAAATACACCGGTTTTCACCTATCAGCTGTATTTAGCTCCTTCTTAAGCACTACCGAATAATTACTACCAGATTAAATCAAACGGGATTGAATCGTGCACGTATCGTAATTTTTGAGTAGCGGTACACTCCGCGGCTAATTGAGGACTGATAAGTCGGATTATTGGAACGTATCTATCAAAGCGTCAAAAACACAGAATCCTCGCAGACTTTCAGTCGGCTCCATAATTTCACTATCAGCGCAGTGAGAGAAATAAACAAAACAAGATAGAAATATCAAAATGAGTTTAGCCGATAGTTCACGCCAAAACAAAGCAATTAAACTATTTTTTTCCATTTACGGAATCCAAAGCGTGATCCAAACATGTGATTGGAATTAAATTTAATTGAAGACCATGTGCCTCTGATTGAAAGCGAAAAAGAGTCGGAAGGAATAAGGAAAACTGGACAAAACTGGATTAGAGATACCCTTTCACCTTTTTAAGGAATTGCTAATCTACACACGCTTTTTATATTGGGGGCACTCGTTGTCAAAGTGTAAGGTGCCCAATTTGAAAGAAAGTATGCGAAAAATGTCTGCATTTCGTCGTCATTCGACACGGTCAATGGCAATACATTTCATAACACTTAAATCTTTTTAATGCATGCACATAATTTATCATGTTGGGTGCGTAACATTTTGATACAGCAGCAGCAGTCACTGACCCGCTCGCAGGGGATTTTTGAACGAGTTTTTTGACACAATTATCCGATCATTTATGTATTTAAATTCGTAGCACCCAGAATTATATTAAGTTAAATTATGTTAAAGTGGGCACAAAAACCAACTTTTTAACATTTATCTCCAGCATTTGGTTATAGGGAAAGAAGGCTATGGCTACGAGGTCTCTACATTTCCACAAACAACACGAATTTTTAAGAAGAATCAGTGCTTTGGAAAAGTACCTACAAACAAATACATTACTAATTAAACCACAAATATTTATGAAAATGCACAGAATGTTACCCCAAAAAAATACCTTTAAAAAAATCTAACTCAGCCGCCTTCCCGCACTTAAGAGAGCGAACCTGTTTTATTATAGGTAGTCGTAATAATTTCCGTCCAATTCTTAGAAAATGCAAATCACGATATCTATGTTCGATATTACGTTCAATAAACAATTTAAACAATAAAATCTGCAGACATCCTTCAGACCGGTTTTCATTGACAATACAAATACTGTGACTGTGGCAATATTTACTTCCGAGCTTCATTCCACAATTACATTCCTCCAGACAAAACAAAAATAAGTAAAGTAAGATCGTCTTCATAAATAAAAGAATTAACCACCATCAACCAGAAGTTCGCGAATAAGTGAATATTCAGACATTCGTAGTTCGTATTGGTGGAATGTATCACTTAACAATAAATGGGACCCATAAATTTGATTACTTTTACTTTAAATTGCAATTTTAAAACTCAGCTAACAAAATTGGCATAGAACCGGTTTTCCATATATTTTACAGGGAATCGGGCTAGCCATAATAAAACGAAATCCTTTTTCTTAAAGAGAAGAGCTTGCATCAGACCTGTGCTCGATTTCTTATCACGGTATGTTTAATTGCCTATATACGTGGGAAGCATTACTTCTGACCATGAGAGTACCTAGGTCCCACTCAGGTCAGTAGTGGCTAGAAGATAGTGTTTTAGAACATAATTAGGTATTTTGGTACATACCTAGTTAATGAGGTAAAACCACAACATGGATGGATATCCCCGTTTCCTTTAAAATATGTAAATGTTCTTCTGGTTGTGCACGTATTATACAAAGAAATTTTTCCACATATAAATTGTTTGTCTCCAAGCATGTAAAATATGTAGTATGTTCTAGCCAGTGTATTACTGGCATTGAACGCTAAAATTTATGTTGGTGTAATTTTTTGGACACATAAGAGACGTTTATTGACGACTTTGTTATTCTTTGAAGCGAAGTTCCGCGGGTTAAGGGAACGTTTTTTACATTTGGCTCTATTGCGCAGTTCCTTGTGTGGCTTTTCTTCCGGAATTTTATTTGGGAGAAATTTGACTCATTGGTAGCGTAACAGGTGGTTGCTTTACGCTCTGTTGCTGGTATAGGAAATGTATACGTGTACTGATTCATAAGTAAAGAGAACAGAACTGATATTTAGACAATAAAAGACAAGTGTTCAAGCAGACAAAAGTCGAAACGGTACAGTGTTTCCAGTCGCGACGGAATATGAGAGGAGTATTTTCTGATATACCTTCGCATGTATAAAAACACTGCGACCGCTTGGTTCTCTGTGAGTTCGTTTCATATTTGAGATTCGCCGAGTACTTAAGTAAAAATCTGGTGGGAGAGCGACTATTAATTTCTGCTTTTGTTGGCTGTCAAAACCCGAAATTGTAAGGAGATTTTTGTACTGCGGAACAATACGGATAATTTTTCCCGATAATAAACTAAATTGCAGGTAATAAATTGTGAGGAAACACGGGTTTGTTCTGGATTGAAATTCGTCAATCATCTTCCGAGTTTCACTTTCAACGACTAGCCAAATATTTTTTACTTGGGGATACGAAAGATCCGATTGTATTTGAAAAAAAATGTTCCATACGAGGTGTGAGAGGGAAGAACTTTCGGTAGAAGAACAAAGCATTTGGTATAAGGAACAAGGCTCTCAGCGTACTATGGACCTGTAAACGAATACTTAGGAAAAGTGGGGACTAACGTCAAAAATGACCCAGAGGATATAGATAACGATGGCTACGCCTATCTTTACGTTGGCGACTTTGGTGTGGTAACAACGAGCTGAAAAATAAAAAGGTTAAGGGCCAATTCTACAATGAAGGTATATACCCAGAATAAGCTATACCTAGAATAAATGTCGACGGTTGCGTTGGTTACCATTGTGTCAACCAATGACATACATGTTGCTATGGCAGTTATTCCAGGAATATCTTATTCTCCGTAAAAGTGTAATTGTAAAACCGGCCCTAAATGAAACTAAAGATAGTGAAACGGTTTGTCTGTTTAGCCATATCAGGGGCGATGTTCATATCCCCCCCCCACGCGGCCCTATAGACCTTCCTAAAGCTACCACCTCTACAATTCGTAGTAATTCGTAGCGGACCCATGGAAAGAATGATACAGATTCAAGATGATCTTAGCAGAAGTATCGATACTTATCTTGCAACAGTGCCTTGTGGCATAATTACACCAACAAGGGACGAGTGGGTACCGTACTATACGTACGGTTCCGTAACAGTTCACACAGTGGGTGGTGTTATATGGAAGGATACCGACCACCACTCTGTCGCGGCTAGAACGCAACAATAAGAGATTTTTACTATTAATGCCTGCGCCAAATGTTGTTAATTTTAGAAACAGGGAAATGTTTACAGTACATGCGGCATTAAAAGCTCTAGGAGCGCATACCACTTTTCAGGGTAATGTAATAGCCGACCGACTAGCCAGAGACGGGCAACAGATAGAATAAAAGCCATTCTCTCTGATCAAAGACAAGCCAAGACTCTACGAATGGAAAGACACTTCCACAGTATGGACGTTTTAAGGTATGTTCACTTTACAGGGAGTGCCAAAGGAAGAAGAAGGTCCTCGGCATATACCGAGTCACTGCTGTGACGCATATTTGTGAATAAGGATGCACCCGGGAATGCTACACGATGCTGTTCCCAGGAGGATTCCAGATTCCTTCAAAGATATTGAATTGACATCCTAAGGAAGTCTAAAGCTAGAGGGTGCGACAGGCCTTAAGGCTCCGATAATAATAGTAAGCATAATAAATGTCAAGAAGCTTTAAAGAGCATCTATGAGCATTTAGAACCTAAATCTATTCAAATTTGTCGTACGAGTCTAACATTGCATGCTCTGTGATATTCCGCTACCAAGACCTCGAATGGATCTAGGATCTTTGTAAAATGTCCTAAATTTCTCTTCGTTTCTTTACGATAATTGTAAACTGTCTCAATATTCTGTTATAAATTAGATTTGTTATTGCACACTCTACATTTGTTAAATTGTACTCAATTAAACCTTGCTTCTACCTAAGAGACTACCTTGAACTTTCATCACTGACATAGAGATCGACAACAAGCTTTGTCTTTCTGATCGAGACAATTAAGAAATTATAGATCATTCCCTTGAGGGAGGTGTTAAATGATCGTTAACACATTTTCTAAAGTTCATTGAAAGGCGTATTAAATGAAACCTTGGGCCTTGGGGAGCATTGTTTCAAAATGAGGATTATGCATGAATTTCGCAAACGCTTTCATTAAGGCGAATAGTTAACCTCAATTTGGGTTCATAAAAATCTTTCAAAGAACGACAGACTAACGATGACGTAAATAATTTAATTTGAATACATCATAAACAGGTATAATTAGAACGGAAACATAAATTGCAAGTGTACCCTATTTATGCTTAAACTTTACCACAGCCAATGTAGCACAATCGAACAGAACCTATCCCTAAAATAGGGGTCCTGTTTACTTTTCACCGAAACCTTTCTGTTTCTGTTCCAACACCTTGCATAAAGCAGTTACCGTAATGGACATTTCTTTTCTTTGAAAGAAGAATCATTTTAACTTTCAAGCCCTTACTTTGGAATAGAAGTTCGGGTCTATGGACATTGCCCTAAATTCAATGTTTCGAAACGCGAAATTGTATTTATGGGGTGGAATGAGGCTCTAGATAAAAATAGTCATTCTGCAAATACTTTCAAATGTCAATTTTTAGCGCATTTCCACTTTGTCCGTCCGTCCGTCCGTCCTCTCGTTTTGCGACGCTACTAGTTCTTTATCTTAAGAGCTATTGTTCTACTTTTTTCGCTATTTGGTTCGTTATGGTGTCGAGTCTTGCACCAAGGAAGGAATTTTTTCTGTACCGCTTACAAAAAAAGTTATTGTAAATAAAACAAAAAACCGTTTTTTACGTGTTCCATAATTTTACACTTTTGCCGTTTATTAACGATCCTAGAGATCGTTTATAATTTTGTATTGCTGTCTGTCGTCTGTCTGTTGGTCTGTCCGTCTGTTCCTTTGTCTGTCTGTTCCTGTATCTGTCCGTGTGAACGGTAACTTTGTTTAGAAATATCCGATCGCTTTTACATCTCCGTTAGTTATTAACTGAATTGCATGGAATT